TTAAGGGAGAGCAGGAGTGGCAGGAGTGTGTGACAGTTAAATGGGTCTCCCACAGACTAATGTCGGTTACAGTGCAACCATGCCTCAACTTAAGTGGGTTATTTTGTGCAAAGGGCAGCAGTGATTAGCAGTTTGACATGCCAGACACTTCTGGCCAATCCCATCTGTTTTAGAGGTTAAGAAAGCACACCTTTATGAGCTGATGGACTGATTTGTGTGCCCGTCTGGTAAAGATTAGAAGTCCAAGGCCACTGCAGTAAACGTCAGTTACAGAATATTGTACTTTCTTCCTTGGCTCATTGTTTTAACCGTCAACTGTTTTATAACGGGGGAATAACTGCTGTTTGTGGAGGTGAATGCAAGCTGGGTGGGGGAACGAACAGGTGAGAGAGGAAGAAAACAATGTCCAGGACAGAATTGTCCATTAACATGTTCCAGAGCAAGTGTTTCAGATGGAGATGTGGGCTGCCCTACATACTCTTCAGCTTAGGGAGTGTTTTTGGTCCCTTCCTTACAGTTTTTGAGTTACGGTGTCCTTTTTTGAGAGTTATCTGAGTAACCTATCAGTGCAGGATATAATTTTATACTCAGAATTGATAAGTTTCTTTATTTAGGTACCTCTTTGGACAAGATGGATCATTTACCTCCATACCATATATGTTTGGTTGTCTTTCTTATATGAAGTGTCGTATTTGTTCACTGACCTAGGGAGAGGTTAAGGAAAAGAAGACAGAAATGAAAAGAAGCGCACACACCCGTGTACATGCTGTCTGGGTAGGATACGCTGCGAGGCTGATGCATGCTGTTAGCATGAAGTGTGTGACAACCTAGGCTGGGGCTTTTTTCTTCAGTTTTGAGAACTATAAGAGTTCTGCCTTTAAAAGTTCATTTTCAGTTCAAGGTTGTAGCTCATATGAAGACATACAAAGGCTAGAATGTGGTTATAAAAATTGGTTTTAATATAATCTAGTATCCAAAGACAGGAAAACTTAATTAGATATGTATGAAATAGAACTTTAGATAGATATTATGATCATAATTAGTGAGTTTTTAAGAACATAAAGCATTCAGTCTTTTGGGTGGGTAGAGGGAAGTGTTTGAGAAATAACAAAATGTTGTTCTGTTTATCAGAAATTATCATAAGCCTGAGATTTGAAATTAAAAATGTGACCAAGAGCACTGGAAATAATATTTGAAGATGGGGTTGGCCCCAGTGCTTTTATCCTTGTTGAAATATGTGAACCATGAATTGTTTGTCACATAGTTAATGCAGATTATCTCTGTGTGTGTATGTGTGTGTGTGAGTGTATGAGTGTGTGTGAGTATGTGAGTGTGAGTGTGAGAGTGTGTGTTTGTGTGTGAGGTCGCTTCAGTCGTGTCGTCCTCTGTGCCACCCTATGGACTGTAGCCCACCAGGTTCCTCTGTCCATGGGATTCTCCAGGCAAGAATACTGGAATGGGTTGCCATGCCCATGTTAAATCCTGAATTGTTTTAGAATTAAATTATCTAAAGAAGATATGGTCACTGAAATGTGACCATATGAATGGTCATAATGTGAATCATTCACATTACATGTGAATCATAATACTAACTAGTACATTTTAAAATACATGTATGCATTTATTTTTACTACTAAGCTATTCCAAAATGAACTGGTTTCACTTGTAGAGAGAAAGTGAGATATGTTATTTATCATTTTAAAAGGACAAAGTGACAGCAAGGTGTTGGAGTTTGTTTTGGAATATAGTACTTAAAAATGTTTTCATCTTTATGTTCTTTGTGGATTAACATCAGTTGAAATGACTGGGATCTAATATAGATTTACATGGAAAGAGTCCTGCCCTTCTAGGTAGGGAGAAAAGGTGAAAAGGCATACATTTTATATTATTGCTTTTTTTTTTTTTGGCTAAATCTTTTTTAAAAGATTGGCTTGAGTAGTATAAAAGTGGGCTTTGGTATAATAGTATTAATACATTAAATTAATACATTAAATGTAGGAGATTTATCTAATTTAATGGACAGAAGCTTCTTAAATGAATCTCCTGGTGATGATACATTAAACCTAAAACAAATATTTGAGGCCATATATTTGTATTGATAGTACATTTTAAAGGTCTCTAGATCCTAACCTTTTAGTTTTCTTCTGTTTTCTCCAGTAAATTCAAGTGCCAATAACATCTAGTTTGTGTTACGATTTTACTAAAGACATATTTTGTAGGATTGACTTGTCTTTGTCTGTTATGATATTAAATTATAAGGTTTTGAAGAATACACATTGTCCCTTGTAATTTATGGTAGCCAGTTTCTATCAGCCGGTTTTATTTCTTTACTTTCACTAATGTGGTATTATTGGCTTTGAGATATGTAAAAAGTCTGCTCCTCTAAGCAAATTAGTTGAATATATGCTTAGGTTGTAAAAAATCAAAGCAGAAATGCTTAATATACTTAGCGTTCTGTGTTTGCAGTCCTTGTCCTGAAAATTGTGATAGCTTTATAACCTGACTTTTGGTTGTTAAGAGATTTTTTTGAACCATTGGAAATAGTAATAGCCCTGTTGCATGTTTTGATCTTTAGTGTTGATAAGGCATGGAATTGTCCTTTGCCTCTATTCAGGGAGATGGGCTTTAATAAGAGAGCCATAAGATAAGATGGATTTAGCAAATGCATATGCTTATTATATTTTGTATGTGTATTTATGAAATCAGTATGTCCAGTTATGTACGATACATTTCAGGTGGAGATGTTAGAGGTGGCTGCACCTGTTGACTGCGGTAAGCACTGGATCTCTCCCGGGGAGGCAGGGAGAAGGCCTCCCCACTGTCTGAGCACATCATTCCTCCTTGGGAGATTGCGTACATTTTGCTTTTTTGTATTCTGTGACCTTGCAGTCAGTGACTTCAGCCCAGAATAGTTTCAAAGTCATGTAAATGAATGCAATTAAGGTATTGCTTATCATCTTACATAGTTCAGATGGAACTTTATTGGATAGAGAGGTTTGTTTGCTGTATGAGGAAGGTCAAAGTAAGGTTAAATTTTATTACATAAAATGATTTGGTAATGGTTTTATTTAGCTGCTGAAAAAGTAGTGTCCTAGTAGGAAATGATAATGCTCTTTTTTGTTTTTAGTCATTGGGCAGTCTTTTCAGGGTTTTTTGTTATTGTTGTTGTGTTTTTTTTCCCCTCTATTTTAAGGTGATAAGTACTTGTCTCCTAATAAAATTTGGGGAATATTCTGCCTTTAGTTATGATTCGAGGTATTTTTGGGTTACACGTTAGGTGACATTCCTTGCTGCTGATGGAGGGTAGCTTAGGAGCTGCTGAGCTTAGGAGTGTGCTGAGAGCTTGTGTTAATGTTCAGTTACCATGCCGGTTGGTGCAGAGTCCCAGGTCACGAGGGCAGAGAACAGCCCTACCACCCAGCCGGCTGAGTGTTAGTAGGGATTGGGAGAGTATTGACTTAGATTCCAGGAGAGGGTTGCTAAGGCGAGCTGAGAAAGGGGAGAGGGAGAGTGTTGGAGAATGGGAATTGAGTATGTGTACATATAAAGCGTGAAATTTTTTAAAAAGCTGGGTATTCTCCATTGTGGTTGGCTCATGTGGTTACATGTGGTTGGCTAAGTATATTTAAAAAAAAAACCCGCTTTTGTTTGCTGATCCTCTTTTTACTTCAGCATGATGTATTAGTTGATAAAGTCTCTCCGATTCGTTGACTCATAAAGCAGACTTTACTCAGCATCAGTCTCTGCCTTGCACCGTACTAGGTCCTGGGGGTTCAGAGATGAATGAAAGACTCGCAGTCACAGGGGGAGTAACGGGAAGCAGGATACAAAGTGACCCAGAGGCAGAGTGGTTAAAGAGTCTGCTTCCCTGGGATATCACAGAAGCATCACTCAAAAAAAATGTATAATCTGTGTATGGTTTTCAGGAGACTGAAGGGCACTAATGAAATAATGATGGAAATGCTTTGGGGGCTTTAAGGTTTAGGTTTATTTATTTATTTGCAAGCTAAGCTATAACCCCTGAGAACCAATCACAGGCTGTGGGGCGGCTGCTGTCATTCAGTTGCTTAGTTGTGTCCAACTTTTTTGCAACTCCATGGACTGTAGCACCCCCAGGCTCCTCTGTCCATGGGATTCTCCAGGCGAGAAAACTCGAGTGGGTTGTCATTCCCCTCTGCAGGGGATCTTCCCGACCCAGGACTCAAACCCTCATCTTCTGCATGGCAGGCAGATTCGGTACTGCTGGACCCACAGGGACGCCCAGGCGTAGGAACTGAGAATTGTGGAGAATGTGAACCTGATGAACTTGCAGTGGCTGGTGTGAGTGGGATGCTGCTGTGAGGAACCTTGGAGTTGGCCCCATACTTGTCTTATCATCAGCTGGGCTCGCTGTCCATTGGCCTGCCGGTCAGTAGATGGTTTCCTCAGCCCCCCAGCAGTGTTAAAGGGGGCTGTGGGTCTTGCTGGCCTAAAACTTTTTCATCCACTCTTTTGTTCTTATAAGAATAAACTGTCCTACATGTTGATGTCATTCTATATCTAGAATGATTCTGATTCCAAGTTTAGCATTTTTTGTTGCTAATGGTCTAGGGGGGAAAAATGAGGTGTTTCAACTCTTGTGTTGACTACCAAGTAATTCTAATACTTTTCTTCCAGAATCTTTGATCATAATTCCCCTTGGTCATTGACATTTACTTCTCATATAGTTGAGAATTCACGAAAGAGTCTTTACACAGTGTATAGACAGATAAGTAGTATGTTTTGATGTAAATAATTTTGTAATGCATATTTTTTTATTATATGTGATCAACAGCCATGTCCAAGGAAAACATGTATAATTAAGAATATGTTTTACTTGCAATATGTCTTTTTTTTTTTTTTTTGGACTTTTTTTCAGATTTTTTTTCGGTCAGTAGTTAAGATTTCATTGTAAAAGATACTGTTGAAATTCTTTGAGATAAGATGCACTTGAAGTAACATTTCTTTTTGTTAATTTTCAGAGAGTGCTTGGATTGTGAGCGATTTAAGAACTCTGTTCTAAGGACCCATTACTTTAACACTGGGGAGAAACACATCCAGAAGGTATGTATTTTGCCTCATTGCTCCACTTTTTTTTTTTTTTTATAATTTACTAATAGTTTATTTTGAGACTAACTACAGATTTAGATAATCGCTGTGGAAATTTAACTTTCTTCCTTTAAGACTTTGTCAACTGCACATTGCTCCACTTTTTAAAATGTAGTTAAGCCTTTTCAGTTATAGGGAAGAAAGAATATTATGCCATATTTTATTTTTCTTAAGTTTCAGAGATTGATAACTGAGTTGCTTGACATTTGTAACAGAGGAGAGGGATATATTTCAATGTTGGTAAATTCTAAATTTTGTGTGAGTACAAGAAATCTGGTTTAGATGAAACCAGTTTTGCCTTTTTTAAAATATCTGAGATATTTACATTTTACCTTTTCAGCACAGTACTATTTTAAAGAATGTTTTGATTTGAAAATGAGTTGTAAAAAATTCCCATTTATCTGAAACAGTGTGAAATACATGTTAAACATGCAGGCAGTCTTAAAGCTCTTTGTGCTTACATAAAATTCTACCTTCTAGTATAGGGACCAGCTGTCATCTGTATTTCCATCAGTCTTTCATCAGGGTCCATGGACATATACAACCAGGTCACCTGACTCTGCCTCTGAACGTCCATCTGCTGAATTCCCTCTGCATTATCACATGTGTCTAGGTTGGTGCAGTTTAGCTGCTCCGTAGGCCCTGAGTCCCAGGACATGTGATATATTCCTGGGAAGGAAGGATTTTAAGATCGTTAGTTGGTAAACTTACCTGCTTTGTGTTTCTGCCCTTTACAACCCCAAGACCCCATGTGAACATACCAGCCAGTTTTGCTGAGGTCAGTGGTGAACACAGGTCCCCTTCAGTCATATCCCAGATTTCCTTCTTGATGTCCTCCTTCATATCTCCTTTAAATGTCGTGGTGGTCTTTTAAAAAACTTGGCAGCTGTCTTGCTTAGAATAGAAGCTGATAAAGGAAGAATGCATTAATACATTTAATAAGATAATATATTTGTTAAGGTTGTAGTGATTACATGTGACTATTAACTAAAGATAGGTCAACTTCTAGTGGCAACGTCTTTGAATCCATGTGACTATTAACTGGATATCTTGATTTATATTCACACGAAATAACACAAAAGTCAGTTTTACAAATTTTCTTATGTGATCACTTGTCAAGCACTATGAGTTTGTAGAATTGGATCAATATAGTCTTTTATATTTCTATAGCACAGTATATTGAACTCTGTAGGTTAAGGTTATTCACTATTAGCAAAACAACATTTTCTCCCTGTTCCTGTCACATGGAGAGGGTAAAAGCAAATAGTAAATCTAAATAAACACATTAGGACTGTAAAAGAACTTCTAAGTGAACTCCCAAATACTAAATTTAATTTTTATGTATACCTTATCAGTGAAAGAGGATACGATCTGAAAGCCTGAATTTTGTGAAATTTAAAATTATCTTTTTAAATTAAAAGTTAACATATTACATACTTTAAAATATAAACATTCAAATAGTTCATAAGTGTTAGTTATAGAGACATTTCCTATACTTTTTAAAGCCATTATAATTTATCCATTTATGAAAATTCATCAAGTAATTGCAAAATTAAGAGTAGGTTGAATAGAATTGAGCTGCTTACTAGCTTTTATTAAAAAGAAACTGCAAAGAAATTTAGTTGCAGTGTTGAATAGAGAAATTCTTATGTAAATTTTGAATAGAAATTGCTTTTAAGTCGTTCTTTTGAAAATAACTTATGTCAAGCTTTTTTAAAAAATAATTTCTTATATTTAAAAAAACACCCCATTTTACTGAAGTCTAACTTCATATAGTCAACTTGGCACTCTTACTTGCTAGTAGATTTTTGGCCACCCACTCCAGTATTCTTGCCTGGGAAATCCCGTAGACTGAGGAGCCTGGCACACAGGCCATGGGGTCGCAAGAGTTGGACATGAGTGGGTGACTGCACCACCACTGCCACCCTGCATAACTGCACTCTACCCCAGAAGGTTTGCTGGTGTCTGTCCCGGTCAGTACTGCCTCCATCCTGCAGAAACTGGTCTTTGGCATCTATATCTTGGATTAGTTTTGCTTCTTTTTGAACTTCATACAATTGGAATCATATAGTGTGAACTCCTTTGTGTCTGACTTTTGTGATTAACATTATGTCTTTGAGTCATCCATGTATATGTCACCCCCCTCCCCACTGCCCAATCGTGTATATTCCATTGTATAATTATACTATCCTTTATCTCTTCTACTGTAAATGGATATTGAATATCTTACCAGTCTGGGGCTAAAATAAGGTCACTTGAACTTTTTAAAATCTTTTGGTAGAAATAAGCATTCATTTCTGATCAGTGTATGCACAGGGATGGAACTGCTATGTGATAAAATATATGTGTCTAACTTTACAGTAAATAGATACCTAGAGTGCTTCTAAGCATATTTAGGAACTGTCAATCATTGTATCTTTTACTAATGATAGCTCTTATTATGAAATTGACTTATTTTTCTCTAGCTTTATGTGAACTCTAAAGTGGTTTTTCTAAGAACTATGAAATTTTCCTATCTGTTAAAATTAAGTAGTCAGTTTTCTGATTCCATTATGTGTTTGGTTCATGAAACTTACATCTGTCCTAACCCCACTGAAAGCAAATAAGACCCAGAACCCTCCTGTACATACTTATAGTTAAGGAAATACTGAAATGGGTTTTGAAACAAATTGCTCACATCATATAATGAAGCCTTTTACTTTATTGTTGAATTTTTAGTAACCTCTTTGACTATCTTAAAATCATGGATATGTTTGAGTAACAAAGTAGTACTTCTGCATTTATGATGAATGTTTCTTGTGACCTTTATCTGTGTTTGTATTAATCTGCTTGGTGATTAAGTGAAATTATTCACTCTAGAACATAGGTACTTGAGAAATTTTATATCAGTCTTTTTCTCAGTCTTTTTTATAGGACAAAGCTGTTCTACTGAACTATAATGTTAACTCAAATTTTAAATTTTCTAGTGAGAGAAGTCACTCAGTCGTGTCCGACTCTTTGTGACCCCATGGACTGTACCCCACCAGGCTCCTCCATCCATGGGATTTTCCAGGCAAGAGTACTGGAGTGGGTTGCCATTTCCTTCTCCAGGGTTTCTTCCCGACCCAGGGGTTGAACCCAGCCAGGTCTCCCGCATTGCGGGCAGATGCTTTACCGTCTGAGCCGCCAGGGAAGTCCTAGTAAGGCACATTAAATAAAAGTAAAAAGCTGATGAAGTTTGTAAAATATTTTATACTGATATCTACAAAATATTATTTCATTGCTTAATTAGTATAAAATCATGAGATATTTTACATTCTTTTTCTCATGCTAAATTTTTCACATTCAGGGTTTATTTTCACTTTGTATCTCATTGCAGCTCAGTCTAGTCACTTTTAAAGTACTCAGTAGCCACATGTGTCTGGTGAACAGTAAAGTTACAAAGTTACATCTTGGATGTTTTAAAAAAACTGCCTTAGTTAAATTCATATCAGTTAAAATATACTAAAAATTCAATGGGAAGATTTCATGCAGATGCTAATATGGTGTGTTTCAGTAGGTCTCAAACAGCCTGTTTTTCCTTCAGTGTAAGAATAAATTATATTTTTTAAAATTGAACATGGGATTAAAGCAGTTAGCCTGCATCTAGGGGTCATTTGTGTGAAAAATGCATATCTTTAAATTAAAATCAAAATGTCAGATCCACATTGTCTCTCCTCTTCTAGGTTATATGCTAGTAGAATTTTATTTTGTGTGTGTGTGTGTTTTTAAGTGTGGCTGTTATAATTTTAGTGTGATAAATTGACATATGATGTAACTTCACTATCTTCCAAGTAGAATAGTGAAGTGAGTGAAGTCGCTCAGTCATGTCCAACTCCTTGCGACCCCGTAGACTGTAGCCTACCAGGCTCCTTCGTCCATGGGATTTTCCAGGCAAGAATACTGGAGTGGGTTGCCATTTCCTTCTCCAACAGGGCAACTCAGAAAAGGTTGTATACATATAAGTGTACCTATGACTTTTTATTCATTAGGATATTCAAAGAATGCCTAGATTTTGAGGATTGATGTTTATTCATAAATATATTTGCCAAATGAGATGCAGCGAGATCTGTAAGCTGTCTTCCTTGAACTTGGGTCAGATTTTGCTACCACTTTGGTTTGCTTTAAACTTTTTAGTGTTCAGAATTTGGAATGTGGATAAAGAAATACTAGTATATGACTGGTCATTTGTGGAGGGTTGTCATGAGCAGTAAAGCTTATTAAGCAATACTTTCCATAATTGCATGTGTTAGCAGTTATTTTGGGTTCTTGATATAAGGTGTGTGTGTGTGTGTGTGTGTGTGTGTATGTATGGTTCCTCATAGTGGTGATGTTTCACAAATGTATACTCACCTCCAAACTCATCATTAAATATGTACAGCTTTTTCTATCTAAATCTTTTCTCAATAAAGTGGTTTAAGAGAATGCTGGAAATCTAGAAGGAGCTCATGAGTATTTATAAGTGTTTATTGACTAAATAGTTATTGAATGTATATTTTTCACTCCCCAAATTTTGCCTTATAGACTTTCTGAGGCAGGAAGTATTTGAAGGAAGAGAAAACAAAATCTTTAATTATATTTGTAATAATACATTTTGATAATTTGAATTAGTTGAAAGTAATTTATCAAACTGATATGTATATCTCAATTAAGAGTAATATGTAGATATGAAGTTTTCTAAAAATATATTATTATGATCAGGTCTTTCATCTTTGGAGTATACAAACATGCCTTTTTCCATTTTGTTATGAAATAATGGTAATCAGCTTGAGAAGTACATCTATAAGAGATATCTTATGTTTCTGTAAAATATAGAGATTCATTGTATTTTAAAATTACTCTGAATCAGGCAGACCTTGATGGTTTTTAAGAAATAATTTCTGTATAGTGAAGTAAAGGTTGTCTTTCCATCTTATATAGATATTTTCTTAATGTAGTTTTTGAAAGTGTCAGTTTTAGGTCATCTGTAATAAAGTGATCAAAGACATAGTATCGAGGAATAGTATTTGTTACTCTAGAATACATTCAAAGGAGATGTTCTAAGTGTTTATTCCATTTTAGCATCGGTAACTTTTATGAGATGATTTAAGCAGCCTTTCCTGCAAGTCTATTTGCAAGTTTTGAGTTTTATATTATGCCTTTATATATTCAACACATTATAACTGGTGACCATATATACGAGTATTTCTATAGTCATTTTCATTAGAACAGAAAGAATTATGAGATTTGATTTCTTACTTTTTCCACTGCCATCTTCTAAATCAAGCTTTAGTATTTCATGATTGTTATACAGTTACTATCGTAGCTTTCTAACCAGTCTTTTACCTTTTAGTGTTTATTATCTAATATGTTCTCCACACTATAGCACAATAAAACTTTCTGGAGAGATAATCATTACCCTGAACACAAAGACCTTTGCCCACAAGATTAAAGCCAGGTTCTGTTTCTACCTGGTTCCTGCCTCGTATTCTATTTGCCTCATCCTTGAGCATGTTAACTGCACACTTCTTACACTGCCCCAGTTGTGGCTGTCTTCATCGTATATGTGTTGTGATCTGTCTCTCTAGTTCTTTTTCTACAAACACGCTGTCCATCCTGTGATGCATATGATCACCCTGGAGAAAGGAACAAGTGCCCTCTTCCACTTTCTCTCAGTTGATGAGTACTACTCATATTTCATTGATCTTCTCCGTGAAATTATAAACTTCTAAAGGGAAGGGACCATGTCTTTTATAAAATTGTGATATACAAAGCAGCTAGCTTGATGCCTTCCATATACATGGGTAGTAAGTTAGTGTTGATGAAGAAACAACTTCAGGGTGTATATACCCTGGAGCTTTAAAAACAATCAAAGGATTTATAAATTCATCCTGCATTATATTTTGTAAGTTATTTAAACTTATTGTGCCATGATTTTTGCATGCGGTTTGTGTGAAAATGAAATGATAATGTGTGTCAGAAATCTGTCGGTTCCAGAGTTTGACACAAGTGTTTGTGATAGTACCCAAACTGAATTTTGTTGAGCATGTAAATTTCTTTGTCTTAATGTGAACCATATAGAATGTTGTTCAATATTCCTTACCTGAATGACGGCAAGGTTGATTTAATGTTAGCTGATTGTGTATTCTAAGTTTCTTTACTGTTCATCTGAAACCAGAATGAAACTACAGATGCCTTTGGTGCAAGTAATGAATTAGCTTTTTAGAATGAATAGTTACAAAGATGAATGAATTTAAAAATCTTGTTAACTTTACAAAATTGGTCCTTAATTCCTCATATTGAATTACATTAGGGTTAAATACATTTTTTTGAAGGGCATCTTTTCACAGATTTCCATAAATTTCTTAAAGGTGACCCCATCTGTGTCAATTCTATTTCCTAGAAGTATTTAAAAAGCTTACCTGGCTAGTGCAGGTTTTTAACAGGACTGAATTTGGGAAAAGTTTTTTCTTTGATTGTGATATAGTTCTAGTGCTAAGAGAAGTATTTTGGAATAGCACATTTCTGTCCTTCAGAGATCTTTCACCCCTCAAAAGCAAAATCTGAGTGTTACGTGTACATGGATGATAGCTATAAATCAGTTTAAAGAAAGAGATAGGTTGACATTCAGGGGGAAATGAATTTTCACAAGACCAGCATCCTAAACCACGAAAACTGTCATCACAGGGTTTTCCAGGTGGTGCTCATGGCAAAGAACCCACCTGCCAACACAGGAGAGGTAAGAGATGCAGGTTCAATTCCTGAGTCAGGAAGATCCCCTGGAAAAGGGAATGGCTACCCACTCCAGTATTTTTGCCTGAAGAATCCCATGAACAGAGGAGCCTGGTGGGCTGCAGTCCCTCAGATTGCAAAGAGTCAGACATGACTGAGGCGACTTAGCAGGCACACGTGCACCGTCATCACACATAGACTAGGCCCTGAAAATGTGGGCCCACCATAGTCTTCCCTATGGAAGTGCTCAGATGTTGGGGACACTAGTAGTGACGGAGACTCTGTTGGGAAGGAAGAGGGGAGGATTGTGGTTTCTGAGTCTTCCTTGTTGTTGTTTAGCTGCTCAGTCATGTCCAGCTCTTTTGCGACCCCATGGCCTGTAGCCCACCGGGTTCCTCTGTCCATGGGATTTCCCAGGCAAGAGTACTGGAGTGGATTGCCATTTCCTCCTCCAGGGGATCTTCTGACCCAGATATCGAACCTGTGTCTCTGGCATTGGCAGATGGATTCTTTACCACTGAGCCACCTAGGAAGCCCAAGTCTTCTTACCCATAACAAAATATGTGCAGCTGAATAACATTCTTTGGGCAACTAAATAGGCTTGGAAGGCTAACTTTATAGGCCGCCCAGGTGTATTTAGGCAGTCAGTATAGAGGGCCCTTACTTTATTACCTAGGATATAAAGTTTAGAAAATATTAAGCACTTTCTACTTATATTATAGACAAAACTTCTTAAAGGCAGTCTGTATTTATTCTAATAGAAATGGATATAACCTAAGAGTGAAAATTACTAAAGTTACATTGACAAGTATATTCAAAATATGTGCATGGAGTTATTGTATTAATGCTGAGTTCTTGCTAACTTGCCATTTTCATGGTAATTTCAGGAAGTAAGAAATGGATAACATTTTTAGTTTGTTTAAGTACTCCCATGAGTTTCTGTTAAGGGTGAAAATGTCATTACAGTATTTGTTAGAAAGTCACATACCCTTTAATGCTAGTCTGATAAGCACAGAATATTATTGTTATATTTTTGCTTAACTCTTCTTTAATAGTATAGCTTCTCTTCCTTTTGGTTATTATATTAATGAAAGATGCAGATTATCATGCTTTTTTTCCACCAGAAAAAGTCTGAAATGAATATATGTGAACTATTTAAAACATTCAACTTTCAACATTTAGACCTTTTTTTTTTTTCTGATAGCCTGATCACACAATCACCAGTCACTAGCTTATAAACTTGTATTTTAAAAGAAAACATTTATAAGGGATAGGATTCCCATTTTCTTGTTGGAGAAGGCAGAAGTAGTTTGTTTTCTTTCTTGCTTTTACAAACAAAATAATTAACCCAAGGGGTATATTTCTCTGTTATCTCTAATGCAGACAGTTATAATAGCCACCATCATGGCCGCAGTTCAATACGTGATGAGGAAAGTGCTGGTCTTAGAACCATAAGATTTATATTTGAGCCGTAGCTCTCCACGCAGATTGTTAGCACATTGCTTAACCTGAGTCTCAGTTTTCTGACCTGGAGGAAACAGCTACCCATTCCAGCACTCTGACCTGGAGAATTCCATGGACTGTATAATCTATGGGGTTGCAAAGAGTCAGACACAACTGAGCCACTTCCACTTCACTTCAAAATGAGGATACAGTCTACATCACAGGAATATCCCAAAAGTATTGATAAATGAGGCAATAAAGTTTCATGTCACAAGTGTAACATTCTAGAAAGATAATGTGACAGTGTTGTTAATTCTGTATTTTCCAAGAGATATAAGTTTACAGAGGACCACTGTTTACTCAGTAGAACACTCTTCTAAATTAGAACTTTTTCTTCCACACATGATACATTTTTCTTTTTTTGTTGTTGTTTCTCCCCCACTTTAAGAATGTTCATAAACTCTGGTCATACTTTTGAATGCCTTTCAAGTTTGAACCAGTTAACATCTGCCACCTACTGACCCAATTCTCTCCACTTCCTCTAATCTGGCCCTCTGCAATATGCAGTTGCTTGTTTTTGCTGGGTGATTAAACTGGCCTTAATTTGATTTTTCCAAAGATCTGGATTAATATAGGGTTAGAAACAGCAGCTTCTAAATGCATCTAACCTATAAAGCAAGGTGCATAGCAGTCAGTAATAATTTTTCCCTCTAGAGAACAATTAGTAAAACCCCACATGGACTTGCTTTTTCTTTCATTGTCTAGCATTTATAGTTTTAAAAGTGATTTCTGCTCACACATTCAGGTTAAAAAACATTTTTTTTTAGTAAGTGTGAATTTGTGAAGTGACTCACCACACATGTAGGTACTTCAAAATGCATGCCTTTGACTACTATTTGAATTTTTATAGATTTGTACTTTTGCTGACTGCAAGAAAATAAAAGGCCTAGTGCCAGTTTTTACTGGGTTAAGATTTTATTTTAAAGTATCATTTCCTCAGCTTTTTTGATACTTAAAAAGTCATACAGATTTTCCTGCAAAAAGTTTTAACAAGCTTTATTCCAGTGAGGAAAATTCAGGATGCTTATGCTATGGTAATAACAAAAATGATGTACAGTGACTCTTCAAAAAGACAGGAGTTGTGGTGCTCACCGCCTACCTCCATTCATTTGAAAATTTGAATATGACTTTTGATTCCCCCCCAAACTTAACTACTAATAGCCCACAGTTGACCTTACTGCCAAAAAAGCTAATTAACATATATTTTGTACATTGATGTATTATATACTGTATTCTTACAATAAAGTAAGCTAGGGAAAGAACACGTTATTAAAAAAAAAATCATGAGGAAGAGAAAGTGCATAAATCTGTGCTATATTCATCCATATGGTATGTTTACATCATTTCTTAAATTGAATTGTCTGTCTACATCAGTATTGTCTTGTATAACGTAAAACACTATGGATGTTATGTGCATTAACACTAGACATCAGATGTGAAAAGATAGTGAGAAAAATTCATATTTATTTACAGGTATAACAATTCAGGTGTTGATAACTAAGATCAGTATGATTACTTTATGGTATCCTTGTGTAATCAATAAAGTTATTTCACAGTAGCCCAACCTATACACTAATGAATGAATCACTATAAAATTTTTATGGCATTCTCTATTAGATTTATGTTTGTGGGCATACTATATAGTAATATTCTCTGAAAGCAAAGTTGTAAGAAGTGAGAAAACTTAACACATCATTAATTTTATTTTAAATGTCACTCACCTTATGCCTATCCTGATACCAGGATAGACTGGTATCATTTTATGCATTCTTGACATACTTTTTTCTTATTTTTTTTGACATTTCTAGTCTATGTGGTTTGTCTGAAGCTTTTTCAAATGATAAAATCTCCAAACATTTTCCAATATATTTACTGAAAAAAAAAATCCATATATAAGTGGACCCATCTAGGATCAACTGTGTTTGGTGAATTTGTTAATAGAAATTGCTGAAAGCTAGACTACTTTAGAAATATATTTTTGTTTAAAGAGGCTAGTGGAGGTGGTAAGAACTAGTGTATATGTGTGTGTGTATTCAGCATAGTTCTGGGTGCAGAAAATTTGGTGATTTAAAAAATTTTCAAGAAATGATCAGACAAGTTGACCAAGGAAATTGCTTTGACCCTGTGGAGACTTAATGGGTAGTGGTTTGTGGAACGCCTTATCGCAGCACACTGACCTGAATCTGAATCATGGTGCACCCTTACCTGTTGTATGACTTTGGGCAACTCCCTCCACTGCTCTGAGTCCCAGTTCCTCCATCTGTAAAAGTTGTTGTTGTTCAGTTGTGTATTTGACTCTTTGCGACCCCATGGACTGGAGCATGCCAGGTTTCTCTGTCCTTCACTGTTTCCCGGAGTTTGTTCCAACTCATGTCCATTGAATCGGTGATGCCATCCAATCATCTCATCCTCTATTTCCATTATTTCCCCGTCTGTTTGCCGTGAAGTGATGGGACCAGATGCCATGATCTTCATTTTTTGAATGTTGAGTTTTAAGCTGGCTTTTTCACTCTCTTTTCACTTTGATCAAGAGGCTCTTTAGTTCCTCTTCATTTTCTGCCATAAGGGAGGTGTCATCTGCATATCTGAGGTTATTGATATTTTTCCTGAAAATCTTGATTCTCACTTGTGATTCATCTTGCCTGGCATTTCTCATGATTACTCTGCATTTAAGTTAAATATGCAGTTGACAACATGGTCATACGTTTATTTTCAATTCTTAGTTAAGATCAAAAACACTATTTATATAATTATTCTGATGAGAAAATATGACTCTCATTAGAGATCTTATTTATTGTCATATGACATATTCTCTAGGCATGCAGCATAAAAAAGAAGAAAGACACCTGACTTCCATTTTCACTTTAGTTTGACTTAACACATTTCAGGAAACTGAATATTTGAAAAACATTTCTGTATTGATTAAGATATAAGTAATAGAATACTTTATTAAAATAGCTTAAATAACCAGTAGATCATCTCACCCAGCAGGAAGTTTGGAGTACTGGTGTTTAATTGTCATGATGATGTTATCAAGGACCCACAAGGTATTTTCCATATTTCTTCTCTACCATCGTGAGTGTTTTGACATTGTCACTCTTCATGGTTGCAAGAGAGCTATTTTTCTTTTTTTTTTTTTTTTCCATTTATTTTTATTAGTTGGAGGGTAATTACTTTACATCATTACAGTAGTTTTTGTCATACATTGACATGAATTAGCCATGGATTTACATGTATTCCCCATCCCGGTCCCCCCTCCCGCCTCCCTCCCCATCCCATCCCTCTGGGTCTTCCCAGTGCACCAGGCCCGAGCACTTGTCTCATGCACCCAACCTGGGCTGGTGATCTGTTTCACCCTAGATAATATACATGTTTCAATGTTGTTCTCTTGAAACATCCCACCTTCGCCTTCTCCCAGAGTCCACAAGTCTGTTCTATACATCTGAGTCTCTTTTTCTGTTTTGCATATAGGGTGATCGTTACCATCTTTCTAAAGTCCATATATATGTGTTAGTATACTGTAATGGTCTATTTTTCTATGCTAGTCTTTTTTTTTTTTTTAAGTGGTGGAAAAACCTTTTTTGGTAAACTTCATTGGCCATAATTGCATCATATACCTGTGCCTACACCCCTTTTTGGCAGAATAAACATTACTTGTCTTAAGCAGCTTGACCTAATCAATATTTACCTTCTAAGGATTAGAGAGTGAGCATTTGCCAGCAAGTAAGAAACGAGGAGGTATGTCTTTGAGAAGGCTGCCTCAGATCTGTCACAGCTAGGGAATGTCACAATTTTAATAATTGCTCCAAATTTTCGTAGGCGATTGTAAAATATAGGACACTCATGACGTGATTCATTCAATATATTTATTTTTAAGTGCTTTCTGTATTCCATTTCTTGGCCCTGAGTATAGAGAAGTGAACAAAAGGGGGAAAAAATCCCTGCCCCCTGGGAGCTTATGATGAAATAGACAAAAATATAAAGCAATTTAATTCATGATATCTCATGAACAAATGGTAAATAAAAATTATAGTAGAGAAGGGAGCATGGAAAGTCTGGGATGGGGTGTGTGTGAAGTTGCAGATTTTGTGGAAGGAAGGTCTCTCATCCAGAAAGAAGATTCCTTGAGTACAGGCTGTGTTGGTTGCAGCTCTCTGGAGAGATGAGTGTTCTTGTCAAATGCCCTGTGGCTGGAATGGGGTGACTAAGGAGGATCACAGGAAGTGAGGTCAGAGGGGGAAGCCAGGAGACAGTTGAGACCAGAGGAGTGACCCAATGTAACGTTTGTACAGAATCACTGGCAGTTGTGAGAAGCAGACCAAAGTGGGCATTAAAAACAGAAGCAAGGAAACAACTTAGGAAGCTATTGTAATAATCGAGGCGATGGGAGCATGACTTGGGTGGGAGCAGTATGAAGTAGTTGGACTCTAGATATTTCTAAGGCAAAGCCCACAGAATGTGCTGACGAATTGGATGTGAGGTATGAGAGGAGGAGAGGCAAGGATGGCAGCCAGCGTTTGGGGCCTCAACAATTCAAAGAATGGAGTTAATATTAACTGAGATTAGGAAGAACAGGGGTTCAGTTACTGACACTTTAAATTTGACCTGTCAAATAATTGTATAAATATTTCTTGAAGACAGATCAATATATATTTTTTAAAAGGATGACTTTGGCCATTAATAACAGGAAACGGCTTTTTAAAATGTATATATTTTAAAAAAAAACAACAGTAAGGAAGAAGACAGTACAAAATGTGGAACGAAAGTTTTATGGCGGGGGGGGCAGAGGGATATTTTATATTCCATTGAACAAATACAGGGAAACATTGGAACTGATTTTTAAAATAGAATACTCAAAGAAGCATTTATACACTGAGCATTTATCTAGTGCCTACTATATTTTAGTTTCAAAAATTGCATGTTAAATATATTTATTTGAGTCAGTGCCTCAATTTTGAAACCCCAAATCTTGTTAAAAGCTCACATCAGAAAAAGAAATGCACCACAAAAACTAGTGATAAAACTTTAGGGTACGTCTGTTTCCTCTGAACATGGTGCAGTCAATGTTCCTTCTAAATACATGCATTGTTAACTGTCAGGTTATCTTGCCCCGACCCCAACTTCCTTGGTATCTTACAGCCTCTAGTTAATGCACAGGCATATCATTCAGTAGTGAGAAAGTCAGAAGAGAGATCAATACATTACATCTTAAGGTGAGTTTATCAGGATGAATGGCTTTTCTTTTGAAGAGGAATTAGTCCAAGATGTCTTTTAACCATATTATTGCACCTATTTGCATTTAACAAGGATGCCACACACAGATGCCAGTTTCAAACTGCATGCATCACATAAAATGCTGAGAAGCAACTTATCAGGTACCTTTTGTATTATAGGTACTCAAGAAGTATTTAGGTGGAAACTCTTAGAACATTATCTTTTCTAATTTATTTAAAAACTTAAAATATGGAGCATGAAGTAGACATTGCCTGATAAAATGTGCTCTATTCATATGAGGTTGTTGAGAAAACTGAATTCTAATTGTTTTTTCAGGTAAAAGTTCTGTGGAATAAATACATGAAATTATTTACTAGGCAAAGAAATGCTGCTCTTTAACTTGGATTAGGCTTTTCTTATCACACTTTTGGCCAAGCTTGGTGAATATATGACCTTTGGCCTATATGACCAGTGAGGGGAAATGTGCATATTTAGAGGGGAAATCTGTTTGTTCAGAACATGAAGTGTACTGAATTGCTTCAGTTTACCTATTTCCCGTGTTAAGTAATTTTTGCAAAATGACCAGAGAGAGTTCTGTAAATTTGCAGTGATTAATCTAGCATTTATGTTCATCTTATTTGAGACCAAATTGATGGTAGATATGAATTAGCCTCATTCTTTGATTGACCAGGCTGTAAGTTTTTAATCTGCAAATTTACTTTCAAGTTCTTTGGATTATATTTCTTTATATACTCCTTTGTTTTTGTTTTGTTTTTTTGTTTTTGTTTTTTAAAAAGGAGAATTAGCAAAATCTGTTGTCTGGCAGTTAGCATTTGTTCATGTGTACAAGTTATTAAAATTGCTTACCTAGACAAGAATCTTGTCAAAGTAAAACTCTAATTTGCCAACCATAGCAGCTTACCTTTTATTATGTAAACATGAATGATGTAAACCCAGTATAAATTTAAATCATGGAACACAAAATCAAAGTAATGGACTGAGAATCCACCAACCAGCGTGGAATCAGGACTTCACCAACACAGTTGCTCCTATCAGCGTGTGCATCTCCTTGCCTGTGTCTTTACCCTAACTGCCCTGACCCCCAGCCACTCTTCACTTTTGTGTTCATCATTTACTTTCTTTTTAATACTACTGGTTTTTATCATGTGGTTCCGTAAATAATATGCTTGGTTTTTTTTTTTTGTTGTTAAGTTTTGTAAAATTGGTAACATTCTATGTGAGTGTTCTGGGACTTGGCTCTTTTTCCCCATTCACTGTGTTTCTTTGACATTTATTTATATTGTTGAATGTAATTGTAGTTCATTTATTTCACTGCTGACCAATATTCCATTGCATGGATTTATTTACTATCCTATTGATGGGCATCTGGGTTACTGTTGGAGGGTTTCGGTTTGCTTGTTTTACTCATTTTTGATATATTTGTTTTGATGTATCTATGCATTGATACAGATGTGTGTGTTAATGTGTGATTCAGCTATCATTTGTATGTGTAGTAGTGTACATGTGCAAACTTGAGGATACATATCTAACGGTAGAAGCATAGAGAATGTTCTACTTTATGAAGTAATGCCA